TATTAAAATTAAATAACCATTGAAATTAGTAGGTAAAAAATTCGAAAAAGTAATTTTTATTTGTTGTATGGCTTATACTTTACTCCGTATGATATTAGCTAGCTTATTGTACTCTTATTTTTCGAAAATGAAGAATCCTAAAAAGTTAGTTTATTATAATATTTAATTAGATCATGAGTAAAAATATATGCATCATTTGCTATTTCCCGTGCATATGCAAATGATGCATATAAGAGTTTGAAAAACAAAGAATCGCTCTTTGTTTCAGCTCTTTTTGCCAAACGGGTTATAAACAAAGAATCGCTCTTTATACTGAATTTAAGAAAAATTCTTAGATTAATACGTGTGGTTAAGATTTATTTTGAGTTTAAGTACATTTACTTTATCAATATTTCATAATAGTTATGATTAGCCGTGCAGTTGTGACAGTTGTACGTACATTATAAGGTATTTGAAAATTGTAGATAACAATCACAATATAGGATATGTTTTTTCCAAAAAAAAAAAAAATCATCCACAATTTATATGACAAAATAAGCGTGTTTATATGTCAAAAATTTATATTAATGAACTTATCCTTAATTTGCAAGTTTTATTCTCCCGTGCATCGCACGGGTAGAATACTAGTTCAATAATCAAATAGCAAATGATTATTGAACCATGAAAGCGGGAGATTAGAAGGTTTTTATTATAAAGACTTTTTCATGATAAAATTAAGGAGATATTAACCAAAATGGGACTAAAAAAGTTTGAAAATTCCAAAATAGGACTTCCATGTTTTTATTCCCAAAATAGGACTAATTACTGCCATGTTTTGGCAGTACCAGACTTCAAACATGGCAGTATTTTCCAAATTTGGCAGTAATTAGTCCTATTTTGGGAATAAAAACATGACAGTCCTATTTTGGAATTTTCGAACTTTTTTAGTCCCATTTCGGGAACTTTCCCTAAAATTGATAACCATTATACAGACATAGACATAGACATTCATATAATAGAATACTGTTTGAATAACATTAATATTTAAAAGATAATGATGTTATACGGAGTACTTGTGATTTAGCCATTTAGGGGTGGGATCAGGATGATCCCGATCCCGATTGCCCAAATCCCGATCCCGTCCCGATCCTGATTCAAACTACAAGAGGATCCTGTATCACGTCCCAATTAAGTCGGGATCCCGACATTAAAATCCCGATTAAGTCGGGATCCCGATCGGGATTCCCGGTTAATCCCTCTAAATCCCGACAATGAAGTATCAAACATAAAATCATGTAATTTCTTTAGTTAAACACTAACTTTGATATTTAGCGGTTTCAAAATTATTCTTTATTCATTGTATGTTATACCATATTTATCATCATCTACTTATAAAGTTTATCGTAATAATTATCGTCTCAAAGTCACACTAGTACATACTTTTAGAATAATTTTTATTTGTAACTTCAATTAATTAATAGTATAATTTTTGAATAAGCTATCAAAGCTTAGTGAAACTTACTTCAAACATTTTATAAAAATCACTAAAAGAAGGATGTGTAACGTATATTATTTAAAATTCAAAACTAAGTAGACTCATTGAGAAACTTTGTGACTAATGAATATAATGTATAAATACATATTATGATTATTTACTAAAGAAAGAAATCTTAGTCTCGATCATTTTAAAGAGTTCATCAGAACCGCAAAATTTGTAATATTGTTGTGATTTAGATTGTCGGGATCAAGAATAATCTCTATTTAGTTAGGATCCCGGATATTCACTTTCGGACAAATGCCGAATAGTTTTAGAAGTTTGATATTGTAAGATACTCATAGTAAAAAAAATTAATCTATGTAAGGAATAAGTAATTAAAAAAGATATGCAAATATTTAGATACATATTCATTTTTTATAAATTTATATTTAATTTTTATATATTCATATATAATTATATACATGTGTGTATTTCTATATATATATATATATATATATATATATATATATATATATATATATATATATATATATATATATAGTGTCGGGATGTCGGAAATTTCCCGATCCCGACTTTTTTTTATAAAAAAATCCCGGTCACATCCTGACTTAGTCGGATCGGGGAAAATTCCCGACTAGTCGGGATCGGGATTGTCGGGATCGGGAGTCGGGAGTCGGGAGTTTTTCCCAGCCCTACTTGTGAAGGCAAAATATTGATGTAGAATCGTACAGACGGTTCTCAAGTTCTACAGAGTATCCTCTAAGATGGTAGTTGTTCACTTTTCAGAACTATTAAAGTTTTTCTATTTTTTTCTAGTATTCTTTTATAAACCTTATACTTCGTAGCTTACAACCTTCAAAAGGGGCAGACCAAACTAGACTTCTGTAGTTATAATATACATAGTGACCAGACGTTTACCAGACCAGACCAGTTCAGACCAGACCAGCAAATTTCAGTTCAAAAGAAAACATCATGTCTTAATCCAGCTACTAGGGCTATGTTTAGCACAACAAGCTGGAACTGGAGGCTAATGTCTGAAATATGGTCTATTGTCTGAAACAGAGACTATTATCTAGAACTGAACTTCAAAGTGCTGAATCTGAATTACTAGCTGAATGAAGTAAACCCGTTTGGCAAAAAGAGCTGAAAAAGTGCAGGGATAATATGAAATTACATTAAAGGACATATCATTTATTAAAAGAATAAAATATATTTATTATAATGATTTTTATATTTTCAGCCTTTATTAATATAAAATAATATAATATAATATTACCTAAATTTTGAATTGCTAAATTGAAATGTTACATAAGTCACATACTTTTATTAAAGAAAATTATATTTTAAGATAAAACTCATTTTCAGGCACTATGTTCACTCAATAAAATATAACTACACCATTCAACCATACGTGTAATTTGTAGGAGGAAATTAAAATTGAATAAACTGATTGTGGAATATGACTACATCACTACACCATTCACCACCAATAACACATGTTATTACTTAATTACTCCGTCCTACGTATACATCCACATAGTTTGATAGTCCAATGTGCTGCTGCAAGTTAACATACGAGTGCGGCAAGGCCAGGCTTTTATGGGAATTAAACACCCGGCTGAATTGAAACGTTTCCTAGTTGAACGTTTTGATTCTGATCGTTTTTCCCAGCTCAAGGTCACTTAAGCCTTTCATCCAAACAATACCATCTATGAAATAATTGACTAAAATTAACACATTTCAGCACATTATTAGCTGAAATGGCTAAACGAACATAGCCTAGGTGTAACAATTTCATACTCGAATTTCTATTTCTTTTGTATGATCAAGAATTCAAGACAAATCAGACCCTCATGGTTGTGTGCCTCTTTAAAGTTTTTATCACACCAGACTCAATATAAAATACATAGTAACAACAAAATTAATACAAACTACTTTTGAGCAACCCTATTAAAAAATTATTCTAACACATTATAATTGTAATCAATTAGGGGGTACAACTTAATCTGAAAAAACCTAAATATTAAATACATTAAAAATAGATTGATTTGATGAAAGTAACAATTAAAAGTTATGAGAGATCTCACTTATCAATGAACGTACCTGAGTGATAAGCGTGTATACACTCCGGCCAAATTTTGAAATTCTCCAGAGTTAAATGGTAAAGAAACAAAGTAATAACCTTTTATAAGTGAATAACATGCTTTTACGGAGTATTTATTAATTGGGTCAATTTAGAAAAGGTCTCCGCATTAATTAGAATCTGCTCCCATAACTTTTAAATCGAAAGCCTTGGAACCTGTTCATTTACCCATTCCCTTGTGAATAGTCTAAAAGTGTGCTTTTTAAGGAATGAAAATAAATTATGTGTGCTTTTTACACTTTTACTCATCATGATGTCTTTAAGTTGATGGGAAAAAAGTAAAAGTAAGGGTAACTTTATCACTTTATTCTTATTTATATACCTAAAATAGAAAGTGGAAAATCATTTTGGGACAACCAAAATAGGACATTTTGCAAAACAAATTGGAACGGAAGGAGTACTTTTTAAGAACAATGAATTTGTCAATTTGCATTACATTAATTACAGATTTATTATTTTTATCCACTTTCAATCTATAAATGAATCATTTAAATTATATATTAAACATTGAAATCACAATAACCAGCATCATAGTATAGAAGACTCAATGAGAGTTCAGGATCAAGATGTCTGATTTGTTTCTTCTGGGATTTGAGCTACACTCATTTGCAATGAAGTAGGAAGGTCTGGCAAACGAAACGAAACCAAACTAAACCCGCTTGTTGATACAATTTATATTTTATTGGGAAGAGTCACCCAATCTCTTCATTCCATTGTATTTGCTCCTTTTATTATGTAAAAGCGTAATATAAACAAAACAGTTCTTTTTTTTTATAAAGGAAATTATATTTTTAGTCTACTCCCAAAAGTAGAATATTTTATGAAGTGTATACCTTTGGGCCTCTCCCACTAATAATTTATTTGTAGTCTTTTGAAAATCACTTGTTTTTTTCTCACATTTTCAACAACTTTACAAAATTTCATGAGCTATGTCGGTGTATCTTTCACTCTAAATCTTCAAGATTCATAAAAATTGTATCGTAGATTCTATGGTACCCATAAGGTACCATACATTTGTCCACATGAACCAATGAGATATTGCAATTGTATTATTTAAATCCAAATTAAAAATGATAAAGTGGTGTGATCCAATCAAATAAATGATAGGTACGGTACCCCATTTTTTAAAAGAGTACCGGAGTTGTCACCAAATTATATACTACCTCCGTCCCGGTGGACTTTGTCAAGTAGGTGAAAAATAAGAATAGTAAAAACTGTGTGGTTGAAATTTGTGCAGAGGAGAGAGAAATGTGAAGATCCACAAATTAGTTGTTGTAATAGGAAAGCGACAAAATTTTTTAAACGACCAAAAAAGGAAAGTTGACAAAGTCCAATGGGACGGAGGGAGTACTACGTATCTATCAATTCCTTTCATTAGGGCGGAGCTACAACGGAATTACATTGTACCCAAGTCAAAATTTGAATAGATAGATACTTGTTTTCATCATTATGTTTAGCAAGACAAAAAAATACACATACTATACTATGGGGTGTTTGGTTAGGAGCCTATCAGCGAAAAAAAATGAAACACCATTTACCCCGCCTTTCCTTTACCACCCATGTCTCTTCGGCGTATCCCCTATTTGCAGACCACCGAAGAGCAAAATCAACATTCCGCGCACCTAGATCTTCTTCCACCAAAGAGCAAAAAACGTAGGGAGCAAGTGGCCTTCTCCTATAATTAGCTATGTGATTCATCTCAATTTTTTCGTTTTGGATCTTTGTTTGGAGAGGGATTTTGACTGGGGTTACTTCCTCTCTGTCGTGTTTCTCAGCCAACGACCATCTCATAAAAATTCTGAGGAATGAATTATTATTAATTAAAGAAATGGGATTTTGAGCCTGTTTGGTAGCACCAAAATCGGCTGTTTTGGCTGATTCTGCCGAAATTTATGATATTCTGGCTGGAGTGGCTGTTTTGGCTGATTCTGCTGATTTACGAAAAAAATATTTTAAAAATATATTTTATTAATAAATTAAAGAAAAAATTATATGTAAAAATAGCTAAAATGGTCATCTACAGTAACTTCAGCCAATACAGCCAGAAAAGTAACTCCAACCTTACTTTTTCGGCTTATTACACAATTCAGCGCGCGAAAGTAAAAGTTACGTGTTTGGTGAAAAATCTGGCTGATAAGCCTGATAAGCCGAAAACAGAGTTCTCCAAACGGGCTCTTTGACTCTGGTTGCCTCGTGGAATCTCATAAAATTGTTGTTTTCCATCTCATAAAAAAGTATGGGCAAATGGGAATTGATTATGAATTAAAAAAGTAGAGATTTATATTAAATATTTGTGTTAATACATTTAACGTTTTAATCATAAAAATGATTTATGTAGTTTACTAATATCATTAATAATAAAATTAATCGATGTCCTAAAAGGTCATTTAATAAGTTATCAGCTCAATATAAACAACCATTGAACCAAACACCTATTTACAAACTAATAATATTATCAGCTAATTAAAACAACCAACAGAATCCGCTGTCATCAATCAGCTAAAACAATCGGCCAACAGCCAACCGCCGATTGCCACCCCCTATATTGATCAGTTCAACGATATTCTATGTGACGCTTAGAATTTTGTCACTTTACCTTTGAGTTTTTTTCATTTTTAGTCCTCCGACTATTATGTCATTGACACTTTTGGTACTCGACTTTGATTATTTTCATTTTTAGTCCTTGATTATTGTGCTAGAGACACTTTTAGTACCCTTGTTTGAAAATTTCTATATTTGGTCCCTCAACTTTGATAAAAGTGACACTTTTGGTACTTCAACTATTATAATGGTGACATTTTTAGTCCTCCATTTATTGTGTCAAAATCTTAATGAGAGGAAACGGTGTCCCGCCCGATCATCCATACTAGGGTTTAATGCACCAAACCCCCCTGTGATTTGAAAATTCGGCGCATTAGTCCCCTGTGATTTAAAAAATGCGTCAAACCCCCTTGTGTTTTAATTAATCATGCGCCAAATCCCTTATGTGAACAAATTCAATTGTCAAATAAAAGAAAAATGATTAACATTTTTGTATGATTCAGAGATTTTGACATATTTATTTGCATATTCAATCAAAATATTAGAAAAAGTGATTTTCAAATCGTTAAATTTATTCATTAAGGGGGTTCTGTGCATAAATAATTAAAACACAAGGGGGTTTCACGCATTTTTTAAATCACATGAGGCTAATGCGCCAAATTTCCAAATCACAGGGGGTTTGGTGCATTAAACCCTCCATACTAGGAGTTCCTTTTCTTATGATGCGAGTGAACATGGGGTTACATGGTCTCTCTAATGCTAGTATTCCCTATCATGTAGATTTGTTTTTAAAGATATCCGATCCCTTCATATAGATTTCAAAGGTTTAGATGTGCCTCTCTGTTGTGCACCTAGATCCATTTGTGATGTTTCTTAAATTACTCTTCTTCAATTACTTAATATATTTTTGTTAATTATTTGTCTCGTTTTGCATAAATATATACTCCCTCCGTCCCAGGGAGAAATTCCCGGGTTGACTTTCACACATATTAAGGAAATAAAGTTACTGGGGGGTAAATTTTACTGTTTGGCACTGTTTCGACACTGTTTGGCACTGTTTCGACACTGTTTTGCACTGTTTAGCACTGTTTGGCACTGTTTTGATGTAGAATAACTTTCCATTTAGGGAAATGGGAACTTCTTGTTGGGACTGCCAAAAAAGGAAATTGGGAACTTCTCCCTGGGATGGAGGTAGTATTTGATATTGTTTCATTACCTATGCATCTTGTTTTCTTTTTTAGTTCTTTTGGCCATTATATTCTTCTCGAGTCCAGCTCCTCTCCATTTTTTCCTCTCCATTTTCTATCCATTTCTTTTTTCTTCCTATCTATCTCTATCTTTTTCTCTATCTTACTCACCAACATACCCCACCATAATTTCCCTCCTCTCTATCTCTCTCCAACTGGAAGCATCCAGTTACTGGAGAGGATCCGTGCTCATTCTTCTCATTTATTTATTTTTATAATAATACTAGAAGCTTTTTTTTCGATTAAGAATTTTGTGTAATATATGCATGGAATATGTTCTTTAATAAGAATTTTTACCTTTTTACAGAATCTGTAGTAAGCTTTTAATTATTAATATTAATTTCTTACGGAGTATTAAGTAGTGGGGGACTTCTTTTTTATTTGTACATAGATTACATATTTGTTAAATTTCAAATGTGCAAGTAATAGTCAAGGATTAAGACTACAAAGTAATGTTAGAGCACAATATTTTCTTCTCCTAGAAATATAGCATTTTATTTGTATAGAAGACAATTTAAAAGAAACAAAAATCAATATCAATAGAAAAGTTAGTCCACTCAAAATGAGTTTCGTACATAAATTTCTCTTTCAATATATTCTCCGATCTTCGCTTAGATCAAAGAGTCTCCACACAATTTGTCTTCTCCTTCATTTGGCGACGACATTGCTATTGGTGACATAATTATCATTAGTTAGTAAAATATTTGTCAACTACCAATGATAGTAGGTGTGCTTAATGAACAAATAAAAGAACATGCATGATGTGACACCGTTATACGAAGAATGTGCTTACCATTAGTATTAGGACAAAAGAATTTAGTATAATGATTAGATTGACCATGCACAATTCAAATAGCGCGCAGAATCAATATTGAATGGTAAAGATAGATTTAGCACCAACTGTATATTCTTCTAGCAACATTTTTGTACTCCTCCATCCAAAAAATATTGGCCAAATTGACTTGTTTTGGTCATGATGGTCAAGTTTGACCAATGATATTTTCAATACAAAATTATTTAAAATACGAAAATTATATGAACACATTCTTTATTAAAAAATCTCTCATAAAAGGATAAAATTTATAAAGCACACCCAAATACAATACCTAAAATCATTGTTTAAACGTTAACACCGTTGACAAAAAAAAGTCAATTTGGCTAACATTTTTTGGATGGAGGTAGTATATATCAGTAACGGAAGGATATAAAAAATTCACTCCCTAAAACTTTGGAATGAAGTTTATTAAAGTTGAAGGTAATGTTGTCTCCATTTTTTGTAATAGCTGTTAATTGATGCGATTGTAACAATTCAAAAGAATTAGATTGAGAATCCATTTTGTATGGGATTGTACGTTCAAAATATTGTAGAAGGATCAATGGTTTAAGATGAACAACAAACAAAGTAATAGTTATAAATTGGTTGTCTATAAAAAGAAGCGAACATTTTGTTTTTAATCCTCTGAATTGGATGACAAGTTTGGACGTTTAGCTAGTCATAATCAGTGAAAATTGATAATGCTACATATTTTTTGTTTGTTGGTATTGGTAGTGAACAAGGAAGGTTGAAAAAGAAATGGGGATGATTAACAAGAGAAGAAGATGAGAAACATGATACTCTCACAGTCTCATATCACCGGAGATTTAAAAGACTTAGAAAATAGTTAGGTAAACTTAAAATTATATATTGATGAACAGTGGCGGAGCCACCCTTTGGCCAGTGGTGTCAATTGACACCACTGGAATTCTTTTTTTCATATGTAGGTATATATAAAAAAATTTAAAATTTACAATTGACACCACTGAAAAATAAAAATTCTCTATATAGGTATAGATAATCTTTTATAAATTATAAATTGACACCATCCAACATTTTAAAAAATGGGGGTCAATTTAAAAATTTTAAAAGTTGGAACACCAAATTGAAAAGTCAGCAAAGGAGTCAAGGAAAATTGAAAAGTCTATGCCCAAATGGCTTATTGAACGCCAACTCCCGCTGCAAAAAGAAAAAAACGATGGAACGCCGTAAGTCGTAGTCCCAATTCCCAAATCGCTGAAATCGGAAACCCTTGGTCGGCGTTCGCAGGTCGCTCCACCTGTCCTCTTGCTCAAAAATTGGTGGAGACAAAAAAACATATTGTGTATCAATTAGTTTTTTTACTTGTGAAATTAGCTTTGCTTTTACCAGTGGCCACCGCAACTGTGGAAAGAGCCTTCTCAGCCATGAAGTTCGTGAAGAACAGGTTGCGCGATCGAATGGGAGATGCTATGATGATGAATGATGCCTTAATTACTTTTATTGAAAAAGATATATTCAAAAGTGTTGACAGAGAAAAAATTGTACAACGTTTTCAAAATATGAAAACGCGTCGGGGACAGTTGTGCTAAATTGACACCACTGACACGAACTCCTGGCTCCGCCACTGTTGATGAACAATATATGGAGGACAACAAACACTTTTATCGCTACTACATGAGCAATTGGTAGTGTTATTACAAGACTAATAACATGAGATACAATATAATACAATGAGAACATAATGTGTTCTCTCATTAAAATTTTGTTGTTGTTTTGTTATGACACATTATCATAAATAATTGTTATTGAATTCATTTGCAATAAAAGTAGGGAAGAATAGTATTAATTCAATCATAAAAAAAAAACTGGTCGAGACAGTTCGAGCAATCATCTTTCTACTGCTGAAATCGGCTCTCACTCCCGCTTCGGCAATCATCACGTGAATTCCTTGTGAGTAAGAGAAATGAGCCTTTGAAGAAGCTCAGCATTATTGTTTGTGATGATGATGTCGTCGACATAGAGTAAGAAGTAGACAATCGATGATGCCTGATGTAGGAAAAATAGAGAAGAGTCAGATAGACTCTGCTTAAACCCAAGTCGGAAGATAAAATCACTAAACCAATGAAACCAAGCCAATGAAGTCTGTCGGAGCCCATAGAGTGCCTTGTTTAGGCAACATACATGATTGGGAAACTTAGGATTAGCAAAGTGGTAGTCATTATATTTACTTGTGTTTAACATAAGTATTTATAAGT